GTTACTACGTCACCCTTTAATAACCTTAAATTATAAAATTAATGAGCAAAAAATTTCGAAGAATAATTTCAATAACACCGTTCTTCGTTTTACTTTCGCTGGCGCGTTTTGAGGTCGGCGGATTGATTTCATGTGCATACTTGTAAAATTAGTGTTACGCTCTTCCAAATTTTTATAGAATATATAATACAACGTCATAAAAAATTTAAAAAATGGTACAATTAAATTTTAATAGATTGCCTGAATAAAGTAATCAAATCATTATTCAGTAATCAGTAATTGATTGCATTAAAATGCGAAACGCATTAAAAATAAAGCATTTAAGTACACAAGTGTTCACTTAATGAGTAATTACTGTTATCTCAAAATATGTACATAGATAGATTATGATGTTGAATAAAAAATATTATTATGTAGATTTTGTTTATCGTTATTATTCATCAGACAATATTATTAAGTTGTTATAAGTAAATTTAAATTCTTAAGCGCATATCTAACACAAACGAATATATTAATTTTATATTTACAAAAATAAAACTATTTACAAAACTATAAAATTGAAACAAAAATCACAAGAACAACACAGTTGCACACAAAATCTTACATATCATAACAATTGTTTTAAATAATAAACAATCGTGCACTGATCACTACAAACACTTTCTTCCAAAATTTGATTTCCCACTTCACACTTTATTTCACGTTAATAATAATAATTCAATTATCCTTAATAAGAAGTATTCAAAGCGGTTAATTTTTCCGTTTCATATGAAAATTTTGTTTTCCGCGCGTATGAAAATATACGGATGTGACACGCGGCCCGAAGCGACGCGACTGAAACGGTGATCGGCAAAATACTAGCATGCACGCGGAAAGAGAGAAACCATATAATTAGTATGGTGTTGTATATTAGAAATCGATTGGGTTCTACGTGATGAACACCGTTTAATAAAACGTTGTTTTAAATGAGTAACTGCTTATAATGTCAAAAATTTGATTTTAAATTAAAAACTTTAATAAATTTTTCATCAACTCTAAGATATGAATTAAGGTTTCTTTATTCACCCTAATTGTTATAGATTAGAATGGAGATTTATAATATATATTTATTTGCATTGATTTATTGCCAATCAAAATAATATACATTTTTTAAGACAATAGGCTGGGTGTAAATGCATTTAAGAGATTATAATTTATATATATACTCCCCGGTTTGAGCGATTTTATGAAATTTTGTAATCACGTTCAGTATATCTGAGAATCGGTCAAAATCTACTTTTTATACCCCTAAGTGATGATGAGGGTTGACAACACATAAGATTTTTTTCTAATTTTTTGGATCAATTTCTTTAGTTTTTTTTTATAATATGTAATACATACAACCCTAAATTATCACCCTCCTACCCGATTTCGTAATAGTTATTTTACCTACTCATCGTAAAATTTTTCATCCCACATGCAGTCAATAAATGTTATGGACTGAATTTTAATTCAGATTTTCTTGATCCAATGGAAAAGCTTAAGTTTACTACAAAAAAACAATTTATTTTCATCAAGAGTTGTCCACCCATAACACCCTCCTTTCACAAATCCTTATTTCATAATAGTCATTTATAAAATGACTATTTCATAACAGTCATTTTAGTAATCAAATTATTTTTCACCTGCTTTCAAGACAGTGAATGGTTTGCACTAAATTTTGTTAAGATTTTCTTAAAGTTATGGTAAAGCTAAATTAACTTCATAAAACAATTTAACTTCAATTAAATTAACTTAACTTCATAAAACAATTCATAAAGGGTTGTAACATAACACCCTCTTTCTACAAATCCCTATTTTATAATAGTCATTTTAGTAATCAAATTAGTTTTCACTTTCTGCTTTCAGTCAATGAATGTTTTTCTCTGAATTTTAAATCTAACTTTCTTAAAGTTACCAAAAGCCTAAAATTTATTAAAAAAAACAATGTATTTTGATCAAGGGTTGTTGACCCCTAACATATTTCATTTTTTTTAATGCAGAATAGAAAAATACACACAACTCTACATTTTCACCCTCCTACCACAAATCCAAATTTTATAATAGTCATTTTACTAGTCCAATTATTTTTTTATTCCTCTGGTTCGCTATAATTGATCAATTATTGACTATTTGAGAACGTTTGTCTCTGAAATTCGATGAAGATTTTTCTGCATGTTTTGCAGTGGGTAAACCATCCAGATAATTGGTAATTTATGTTAAACTAAAATACATGTATTAGAAATATTTTTTATGGCTAAACAACGATTGCCGGGCCACCTAGTATATATATATATATATATATATATATATATATATAATTATTTCACATTATTTTTACTGAATCAATTAAATTCATTTTTTTTTTCAAAACTGCCTAAATAAATCCTTCCATTCCGTCTCATTTTTAACTATTCAGTTGAAATATTACAAACTATTTGAGAACGTTTGTCTCTGTAATTCGACCAAATTTTTCTGCATGCGTTGCAGTGAGTAAACCATCCAGATAATTGATGTTAAACTAAAATACATTTTATCTAGTAATATTTTTTATGGCTAAACAACGAATACCGAGCCAGCTAGAATATATATATTTACATACATATATATATATATATATATATATATATATTGATTTTATTTAGGCAGTTTTGAAAAAAAAAAAGAATTTAATTTTTGATTGAGGAAAAATGATGTAAAAATATATATATATATATATATATATATATATAATTTTACATCATTTTTCCTCAATCAAAAATTAAATTCTTTTTTTTTTTTTTCAAAACTGCCTAAATAAAATCAATCCTCGTTCCATTTTAACCTATTCAGTTGAACTATTACAAAATTATTCGTCATTGTTATATTTATATTTTATTATAATATGTTTGTTATATTATTTTTAATAATAACATTTATTATAAATATTTAACATCCAAGATCGATGTTTATGATTCCACTACATTTAACGTAATATAATTGCAAAGCATGCCATGCAACGCGATGTACCAAATCACACGACATGTGAAACTTCTAAAAAGCCGGGATTGTATAGGAAGTGCCTACATACCTACATTAGATCACCTACTAAGAGTTCCGTACCAGTATTATCACAATTCATGAGCGTTTTATTTCTATACGAACCCTGTAGCAGATGATGACTATTGGAGGTTGGGTAATTTGTAATTATTAAAATTATTTTAAATTTTTTAGTTAAAGTTCAAAAATAATTATTTCATCATATAATATGGATATGTACTACATGAGGTGGATTGATACCTAAGTTGTCTACCCTTGGGTATTATACTTTTCATTACATGTTGGGTAATTCATAACATTACATTTATATATAATATAGATAAAACATTATCTTATTATATATGTGGAAAAAAATGTTTGACATTTTCTCAAATCTCAAATCACATAACAATATTAAAAAAGTGAATAAAGTACATAGTAATTATGTACTTTAAAAAGAGAATTGCAAAATACATGTTATCTAGAAATATGTTTTTGGCTAAACAACGTTCGGCGGTCCAGCTAGTATATATATATATATATATATATATATATATATATATATATTTAGTTATTATAGGTGTGTTTCGATTTTCGTTATGGGTCGATCAGGATATAGTTTGGCATGGCGTGTTTGTCATATTTTAAAGTTATGTATATTTAAATTTGTTATACATTATATTCAGCACAATGTTGGAAATACAAACGAGTATTTCACATTTCGATACATTGACTAAATCATTACGCAAAGCAAACGTAATTCGATCACAGAATATTTGATTTCATATAACAATTAATATAAAGATGAAATAGAATTCGCCTTTTAATGAGTTATGCAAACTCATTTTTTTTGAACAGGCATCAGAATTTGGCGCTCTATAATCTGATATCATAATCATTGTTTTCAGTAATGATTATTTATTTACTAATTGCTGTTAGAAGAAACTCGAACCTAATCCGTTTTTAACCTACCAATTATACCAAAGGCGGGTTAAATGACCCGTTTGGAACTTTGAATTTAAAAAGCAAATATGATTTTATTGTTTTTTGCAAATAAAATCATTGTACTAATCAATTTTTTGTAAGATAGTTGAGTAAAAATTGATGTATACCGTTATATCTTTATTACAAGACAAACCAATGATGATCCTTTTGTGACGATATTTTAACTATTTTGCAACAATGCGAAATATTTTTACTTGAAAACATATATATGACATATATTTTTCAAGATAAAATTGATATCACTGCAGCTTGATATCAGGTTGCAAGAAACGCAAAGCACAACCACTTACGTCACGTGTTCCCCAAGATACACAATGTAAACTATTATATATTATGCTTAAGGGGCCAATTCTGTCGTAAAATAGACCAATGTTACGGCAAGGCTATGTTACGTAGCGTTTTGCATATAAAATGGAATTAAAAACAGTCAAAATGCTATGTATTTGCTGTACAATCAGGCGTTTTACATATAAAATGTAACTTCACGTTGTTACTATGTTATTATGATACATCAGAAAGATGCAATTATAGTAAGATTCTTTTTTAGACGTTTGTGCGTTTTCTGGGTCAAGTTTTCTATCTAAAACGCCTAAAAATTTTAAGACCATACTCGAGGTTACAACAAAGAACATTTACCACTTACTTTAACTGTTAAAGTTTAACACATTAACTGCTGCGCTCGCATATGTTGACCGTTGTCAACAATTGCGTTTGCCTTCCTGGCACTTTAAAGTATTGTTTTTAGTGAAATAAAATGTTTAAATTGAACTTTTGTACTGTAATTATTTCATGCAGAAATAGTACTATTTATACTATTTTGGTATAATTTGTTTTAATTTCCAGGTAACGGTCCAGGAATGGTTTTATCTTATAAGAAACACAATGTTAGCAGTGAATGTGTTAAACGCTTTGCTATAAAAAAAAATAAAACCAAATCCATAAAATACTTTTCCACCTACCTCAACCTGCGTCGTTTCTCGAGCAATTCTCTACCAGGCGTCTTTTCTCCAATACCATTTTGCTGAATTCTTCCGGAAGTACACCCATTTTGCTCTCCATTCATGCTTAGTCCGTTTGTCATGTTTCCGTTTGAATTTCCCGTTGGGAATTCGTCGCCCGCTTCCTGCCTGATGGCGCTGGCATCGCTAAGTCTCCTAGCTCCGCCCACTTCGCCATCTTGCACCCTGGCTACGTCGCTGCCAACCGCTGGCGGAGTTGTCTAGAATTTAAATTATTATTAATATAAAATAAATATTGAATTCATTGTATTCCGGGTTCGCTGGTTCGATTCTCGTCACTGCCAAAGCTTGACATCAGGCAGCTTTGATATCAAATTTCCACTTGAGGTTATAGATATCAATATAATTTCAAGTGGAAAAAGTTAATACTTTATTAACAAAATTAATATTTTTCAAAATAAATATAGCAATATTTACACAAACGTTTGAATTTTATGTCAGAAAACTTATAAATCTGGTGGAGCATTAACTAATAATAATGATACTGTAATATTTGCCATAATAATTATTAAGTTATTTTTTTCTTAAATATACGTATTACATTATCAACCCTTTCACTACGGCAGTGTTTTCCACACGAGAAACACTGCTGTACGGGACAGCAAGACGCCAAGTAGAACAATGAACCAGGCATAAAGATTAACAGCATATTTCAAGATTTTCTAATCATTAATCATTAATGAAATTGTAATTACGAATTTAAAATTACACTTCTAAAAAACTAAAAATTACAATAACAAATTTGAAATCTCAATAATTTAACTCAGAGTGATAAACCTCGAAGAAAGGGGCACCACCCTGGATATCGTTTATAAGCGACACCCGTACACACAGGTGTCAAGCGAATGTAGTCTATAGAAGACGCTCGAAGCAAAAAGATTAAATATACTTCAATTAAATTAACTGAACTAATTGAAGTTTAATTCATATGTTATTATTAACTTCCCGTAGGGCAAGTTATAGTAATCGCAAAAAAATCGAAAATGAAATTTTTTGCATTTCTCTACGTTTCAAAGGTTTCTGAATATTTTGGCATACCTTAAAAAAAATGGATGTGTGTGTGTGTGTGTGTGTGTGTGTGTGTGTGTGTGTGTGTGCGTGTGTATGTATGTGCGGATACAAATTTTCGTCGACGATTTCGGGAACACTGATCAACCGATTTGAATAATTCAAAAAACATGCGATTCGTATTGATAAGGAGACGTGCTGATTAGTTTTTGGTGAAGTCAGGTCTAGCCGTTTCAAAGATACGGGGCAAAAAGTGCCGAAAACGCTAACTCAGTTTTTAAGAGAACGGAAAGTCCGATTTTAATAATTCAAAAAACATTTTACTTGTATTGCCAAGGTAAAGAACCGATCAAATTTTCTAGCAGGTCTAGCGGTTTCGGAGATCTAATGAAAAAAGTAAAAAAAAATGCCATTTGACGGTCAAAAATGATCATTAGACATATGCACATCAAATTATCAGATATTTTATAGAGATTTTAACAATAAGTATAATTTTGGTTTACATTCCTATGGGTTCCGTACCAATGTTTACGCGTTAGACGTCGACGCGGCGCTTACGCGGTTTGATATTTCGTCTTTATGCAGTTAAAGCAGTACGATTGCTTTGAAAAAAAGTTTAGATCTTTCAAAATATGTCAAAATAAAGAAAACATTTTTTTTTCAAAAAAAAAAATAAATAAAAAAAATAAGAAAAATTTTTTTTTTCAAAAAAAGTAATTTTTTGTCTAATTGTTTGTCAAAAATCTTATTTTTTCGAAGTAAATTTTTTTCAAAAATGTTAATCGTTTTTAAAAAAATAATAATTTTTGGTACGGGAAGTTCCAGCAATTTGCCTTAAGGCACGATGCCTTAATTGCCTTAAGACAGAATTCCACTTACAGCTAGTTGTATTTTTTTAAACAAACCTGTGCGTGCGTGACATTATCGAGTTCTGTCATAACCGGAGCTCCTGTATTTTCTGGTACGGTTGTGTTGGTACCTCTACTATTGGCCACTGGTGGCACTGGCGTCGCTGTTGAAGATATTACCAATTTTTAATTAAATTAAATAAGTACAAAATAATAACTAAATACATTGAACTACGTCTATAATTTTAGCTACTAGTATTTTTTTAGAACAATGCCTAATTTATCTACACAAATCACCATTTGCGGGCTAAATGTTAATACCAGAAAAAGCCTGGAATTGCATTATATACAATCAGACTATTATTCCATTATATAATATTTTCAACAAGCAAATACCATTAATTTGTAAAAGTGTAGCTAGTTTTATATGAGTGAGTATATATTCGAAAAAAATGATATGTTTAGTTATGGGGTCCAGCGGTGGCAAAATCGATTCGGACCTGGGCTAGCACCAACTAGTCGCGGGTTCGATTCCCGCCACCGTCAAAGCTACACATCAGGCAGCTTTGATGTCAAATTTCTACTTGAGGTTATTGATTTCAATATAATTTCAAGTGAAAATCGCTTTTCGCGGGAATAACTGCAAAATTTAATCATATGATAACTAATAGACGTAAGAGCTAATATAAACCCCACACATAGGAGAATAGTAAACCGATGGGTTGCCCCTCATGAAACATTTAGATTAAAGTCTTCAACAAAATAGATGTTAGGACATGTAAGATTAAATAATTCTGATTGCTGTTAGAACAATAAATAAAAATAATTATCTCCGTATGAACACTATATTAAAAAATGAAACAACTCAACTATAACTATTATCATAGATAAACAAGTGACTATTATATATTAATGAATACATTGGTGTAACCGTGTCTTATTATTAAACAATTTAAATAGTTAATGTTTTATCTTCTTTTTCAACCAGTTTACTGTCCAATATGTAACTCCAATGAATATATAATCTAGATAATTCCAAAAAATATCATTATGCCATTAGTATGTAATTAGTAAATGAAAAGGATGTGAAATGATATTTTTATAAAGAACTTAACCGAGAAAATAAGTATACAAGTAGATTCTGAACATTTTCTCAAAGATTTTATTACGATCATCAATCTTATTTAATAACATAAATAATATTTCATAATATAGCATACGTGATCTACGGAATCTGTGGTTTAGTCCCAACCACACCGTCAAAACGTACAAAACAGGAACCATTGTTATTAATAATGTTAGTACCATAACGGTTCTTTACTCTCTCATAAGAAAAATACTTAAAAATTGATGTAACAAGTTTAAAAAAATATAATAAACATTATAAAAATCTACAACATAAAAATATATATATTAAAAATATTTCATATATTATCAAACGTCACATATGACAACAAAAACACGAATTTTAAATAATAATTAAAAACAGAAAATTGTACAAGTATATACAACTATGTATAATCAATCGAATCAAATATTTCATGAGAGTATATATGATTAATTAATAAATTATGTTTACAAATATCTGAAATGATTATGTTATTATAAATGAATATTTTCTTGTATACAACGATCGATAAATTTTATTCATATATTTAAACTGCAAAATATATTCAGTAAAGTCTAAGGTGACCCACAGATGGCAACACTATATTTCTTCACACAAATGTCAAGCTGTCAAAAATCACGTGTTGGCAGCATGTATTAGCTGTCAAACGCACCGCATGCGACTAACGCAACTGATATTAACAGACTCGAATTTCAAATTTGATAAAAATTAATACGCATTTCGGAACCAGGGATGAACAACCTGAATGATAATGGAGTGATATTATAAAATTATGTACCATTAAATACCGTCACTTGTCGTGAATAGTAACATACTCGAATTTAAAATTTATTAAATATATAATACGCATTTCTAAATCAGGGGTAAACAACCTAAATGATAATGGAATGATATAAAATTATGTACATTAAATACCGTTGCTTGTTAGTGAATATTAACAATCGAATTTAAAATTTATTAAAAATATATTGCAAATTTCGAAATCAGGGGTAAACAACCTAAACGATAATGGAATGATATTATAAAATTATGTGCCATTAAAAATATTATAAAACTTTGTACCAGGAAATATCGTCGCTTGTAGTGAATATTAACAGACTTGAATTTAAAATTTATTAAAAATATAATATGCATTTCCAAATCAGGGGTAAATAACCTAAATAATAATCAAATGATATACAATTATGTAGCATTAAATATCGTCGCTTGTGATAAATAGTAACAGACTCAAATTTAAAATTTATTAAAAATAGAATACGTATTTCCTAATCAGAGGTAAACAACCTAAATGATAATGGAATGTATTATAAAAGTATGTATCATTAAATACCATGTGGTGAATAGTAACATTTCCAAATAACAATTGAAACTTTATTAAAAATATGGTGAGTGAATTATGAAATTTTAATGGATATAATAGAATCCATTATATAAATTGTACACACACGCACATAATGCATATTAAAATGTTATATCTATAATTTTACACACTCCAATATTTTAAACCAAGCTTTTTAATCAAATACTATTTTTTGGACTAATATAAAGTGTCTGGCGTATAGCTCTGTACGGATCAGAGACATGGTCTCTAAGAAAAGCCGACAAAAACTTTCTGGAGAGAAAATGTGGTGCTGGAGACGAATGCAGAAGATGGACATATAACAGTTGAAGAAGCGCTGAGAAAAGTAAGCAAAGTGAAAGAGCACGATCAATAAAAGTAAAGGAAACTGGATCGGATCCATTCTGCCAAAAAGCCTCATATACAATGTCGTCGAAGGTAAAATAAAAGGACTAAAAAAGTTGGAAAGAAGAAGAATGCAGATGGTTGATGACTCACGCGAGAAAAAAAAAATACAGGGAACTGAAAGCGGAAGCTCAAGACGAGAAAGCATGGAAGCAGAAGTTTGGAAAGGAAAATTCATAAGAATGAATAAAAAGTAATTGATGGTAATGGCGATGGAAATAATAAACAAGGGAGGGAAAAAGAATCATTGATTTATGGTGCTCTCATACCATGGACCTGCCTGCTGGCAGACCACTATTTGTTATTATTTATGTTAATTTTTACACATGTCCTGAAATGGACAACAAGTCAAACTTTGGAAACTTCTAAAATCTTTTTAGTACTTAAATATATATATACCTTGGAGTAACTTTGATGTTGAGATATATGGGTGGGCTCTTCTAAAGCGGTACATCAAATAAAAGACAAAGATTTATAAATCAATCATAAATTTTTCCTAACGTTTGACTTAAAATTTCTGTCACCCCATTATGGGTCTTACATCAATAGATGTACACAAAACATATAATTTAGCACTGCTAATTATACACTAACTTGTCTGTGACAAAGATAATTTTTATTATTTTAAGTGACGTTGTACGATAAAAAAATATTAACTGAATGAATAATTTAAAAAGATAAAATTTTCTGACCATCGTCAAATATTTTGAAAAATTGACATATGTTAATGTATCATAAATTACATTAAATATTTGTTGTTAATAAACTTAAAAACTTTCAAAGTATACTCCCTAATAAAAGTTACTCTTACCTTATAAAGAATAATAAATAAGAAATGAAAATGAATTCACTGTCCAGTTATTAAGTAACGCGGATATATACTAGTGTACTAATATATATATTTAATATTGTTTATCTACAAATTATTCGAAATCTAGAATCAAATTTATCAGACTATGACAACAGCTGATGATAATGAAACATGCATACATGTATATCCATGGTGTGATAAGAATGATTGCAAAATATGTACATACTCAGAATATTTTTGCCAAATCGAAAAATTATGTTTTAAGCTGCTATTGAACCTAACTGACCTTTTCCGCTGTTTTCATATGTTACGATATTTTCATCATTTCTTAAATAATATTCAATCATGCAAAGCGTTGTTTGTTTTACAATAAATGATTAAAATTGCAAATTTTGAAATGGTACAGATAAAGATGATAACATCTTCAGAATAATTCAGGATTAAAATGACGAAATTTATAATAATAGATAGATACATATATAATTTGCAATATAGAGATAGATTCACAAAAACTTAGCAGTGTATGTATTACTTAGTTTTTTAAATGTTATTTAACAGCAAACAGAACTTAACTAGTTTTATGAGCTGTTGTGCTGATTTATAGACTGATTATCGTGGCTTTATTGATAGCAACCCAAACGGTTTTCCTATCTCTCTGATAAGTTCATTATTACGGTTTATGTGATGCCAGGGAAAGGCTATTTTCACCTAAGAACGTCTTTCCATCTAAATTTTGAAGTGAAAACCAATGCCAAGCTGTCGAAAGGAGGGTATCGAACCAAGAACCTCTGAATGGTCCATAGCTTTAAACCACTATATTAGCTTTAACCATGTAATGTATATTATAATATACTATGTTTACTGTGTGTGCAATAAATATGCTTAGAAAATAAAGTATGAGATATGAGTGAAAATATATGCGACAATGTAACATACACAGTGTATGATAAACGTATAAATCGGTGATAAAAATGATTATTAAAATCAAGTAGGACACATTGTAAAATATCATACAAAAGAAATACGTATAAAGAACATCAAACATACAATTAAGGATTCTCAATCACGAAAAAATGCCTAATAACAGAGTCTAAAATATGAAGCCAAATCAATCTTATATAATTCGCAATTTTTACTTTTTTTAGATAGCATTTTAAAGATCCTGCGAGCTGAGCTATAAGCCTTCAATTTTTTTGAACAGAAACTTTCAGCAATATGAGCTGTAGTGATGATATTTCTTAAAGTCTAATTGTAGAAGGTAGTCCTATCTATATTTAATATTTTTTTTAAATAATATTTTTTCTAATTTCAAAAATCTTGAGAAAATATATCACTTGCCACTGCTTGATATCAGGTTATCCAAAATGCGGGTTGGAACTTGAGAGTTTGTGATTATGAAGCCAGGCGTCAGCGTTATATAATTTAATAAAATTATTTGCAGAAAGTATATATAAAAAATATCACATATTATTGAATTGAT